CTCCGTTTCTTAAAACACTTTCATTTTTCCCCAAAACACTTTCATTTTCTATTAAAAAATTATTTTTTACTCTTACTTTTTCTTATCCTACCTATCACATCATACTTTTACACTAATATTCTATTCATTACATGTTACTTTTACCCATCTTATCAAAAACAAAATTAGAAAGTCAACCATAAATATACACTCTTTATTTTTCTTAAAAATCAAAATAAAAATCGTTTTATGAAATGGAGAGAGTATAATACTCCGTATTATATTGTTTATTTGCCAAGCTAGCTAGCTCTTGAATATATGGAGGACTCCGTGTGATGTTTATTTCATTTGCGTACTATGTATGAATACTATTGTAGCTAGAGCTAGGTACATAGGAAGCTAGAGGTAGAGAGTTTTAAGTTTAATATATATACCTAATTCTGCTTCATCTCTCTAATTAATAAACCGCCCAAAGGCGTAGCTCAATTAGTGGAAGTTAGACTTTATACCACATTGAAAAATTGAAAAGAATACAATAAGTTTATAAGTTGTTGGTACGAAAGTTGTTGTGTGCAGGGGCAGAGCCAAGAAATTCATAGAGTGGGTGCGAGAAAAATATAAAGATAAAATAAAATGATTAATTAATCGAGTTTAAGAGACTAAGGGATTACTCCGTAACTAAAGAATAACTATGAACTTAAAAAAAGAATAAATATGAACAATTAATTGATAACAGGGTAGTAAATTTGTGCTATGTTTTTTCCTCTTCAACTTTATTCTATATACGGAATATTATTGGAACAAACTACAAAAAAATTTAAAAAAACAGAGCAAACAAATAAAAACAACACATTTCAATGAAGAAGATGAAAACCATAAAATCCTTGTAAACTAATAGCGGACTTGAGAAAGCACTTACCGAATTGCTCGACTGCCGATTGAATAGGTCCGCCGCCCTCATTGACATCTCCGAACTGTCCAACAGCTGATTGAATAGGTCTGTCACTTCGTCGCCTGCCGGAACCCAGAAATCAATTGCCGGTTGAAGATGAATCGTTGTCGAAAATTGAGAGAATTACTGTAATAGATACTCCGGAGTACATGCTAAAGATCTACAAAATAAAAAGGGAGAATTGAGATTTAGAGTTGAGGATATGTGTGGTAGACAAACGAAGATCTATATTGCCAACTTGCCAGAGTTATCCATTTTCCAAAACGAAGTCGTTTTGCATTTAAGGGAAAATTCTGCAGTCAGTTGCTCGCATGTTTTTATTGATTAAATAAAAATATTTTGGTCAACTATTTATTTGTAAAAAAATTTATATATGTAATATTTAAACATAGAATTTACATTTTTTAATGTTATACTAATTTATAAACAGCATACAAATTACATACGAGATATTTCAAAATGTCAAGTTTTGATATAATTTTAGGATGAGGCAAGATCACTAGATTGGGTTATAAGACACTCGGGTTGAATTACATTAAAAGATTGAATCAAATTCATTTTTCATACCAATTCAAAAGTTTATATACTGATTATATATTTTTTTCATAATCTTTTTGGTGTGAAATACACTCTAACACCCCTCTTTATATGAATAACTGGATCATTTTGAATCTAACTAGTTGACCACTTGTGGATGGACTCACATCTTCTGATTTTGTAAGGCCCAACGGCTAAAGGAACATGATCACAGGTCGTTGGATATGCATTCCAAACAAACAATGTGGCTAAAGACGTCTAAGACCACTAGAAATGAACATCTTGACAAACGAGGTGGATCAAAAACCTGCTCCGTTATCGTGATAGGATAGGATAGGATCACTTGATTGGATCATAACACGCTCGAGCTAGATCACATTAAAAGATTGAATCCAACTGATTACTTACTACAACTCAAACGTTTATACAGTGATTATTTTCTTCTCAATCTTCGGATCTAAGTACACTCTAACATGTTTGCGCGTAAATAATGGCAAGCTACATCTACACCGTACCGTTTATGGTTAAATGGAGTAGAAGAGATATAAGTACACTCTAACATGTTTGCGCGTAAATAATGGCAAGCTACATCTATACCGTACCGTTTATGGTTAAATGGAGTAGAAGAGATATAATGGAGTAGATGATACATGATTAATTAGTATTATTATTATTAATGGTTATTATTATTATATTAGGTAGTATCATTATTTATGGTTAGTTAATTATATTATTATTTGAAAGTAGTATTCAATTGTTAGGATATTTGTTACGATTTATAATTAGGATTCCTAGATTATTTAATTTCTTTATATGATAATGATTCTTTAGATGTCCTAGCTATAAATGTATCTATTTCAATGAATTATTAATCAATGAATAAAAAAATACTTTCTCCTGAACTCTAATCCCTCTCTCTTCCTCGCCTCTTTTGTTTTTGGAGCTCGAAGGTGCTCGAAATCCTTCCATATCACGATACGATACTGTATCAGTTGGTGCTTTCATTGTTGAACTCACCAAAAAAACCCAAAAATTTAGCCCAAGATCGCCGCCAGGAGTACAACATGATGAATTCTATGTTGGGAGAACTTTGTGTTTTATTAGAGACTCCTATTTATGGAAAAATTGGCTTAGATGAAGGAATGTGTGCCGTTAATGATTTTGTTGATGCGTTGGCATAAAAATTTCCGCCATATTGAAGGTCAATTCTCTTATGATTTGGACTTATATGCGTTCGGCATAAAAATTTCTTGTTCAATTCAAGGTTTAGTTCGTGGTCCCCCAATTCTACCAAGTTTGATCCCGATAGAGTTATACAACTTTAGAAAAAACATGATGAACGCAATAAGGGAACTCATCGGTGCTTCGCTTTCTAGTCCACCAAATTTAGCCCCTAAGGCTGAAGACACGATTGTTCAGTTGGTGGAAAACACAGCCGCACACACAGGTCCTGCTAGAATATAAATAACTCTTCCTGGGCCACAACCACAAGCTTGAGCTTTTGGTTGAGTTGGTTCTGGACATGGTATCGGAGCCTTTTTGACTAAGAGGTCACGGGTTCGAAACTCAGCGCCACCCAGTTTTAAGAAAATTAAAGTTTCACGTGCAAGGCTCGAAAAAGACTACGCCTGCACGTGAGGGGGCGTGTTAGAATATAAATAACTCTTCCTGGGCCACAACCACAAGCTTGAGCTTTTGGTTGAGTTGGTTCCTTAACAAACTTTTGGTAGTTATTTATATTCTAACAGGTCCTCTTGTGGAAAATTTAATCGATGAACCACATGTTGAAGATGACATGACAAGTGGGTCCAATATCATGGATACCAATAAGTCACTCACGATGAAGGAGGAAATTGTTGTTCATCCGGTAGGTATTTCCGATGATGCTTTTGTTATTGTTACTGATCCTGTTCCTACAGACGATGTTGATGAGGATGCACACCACCAAGACCGCGAGGAAGTTTTTGGGGACAATCTCATTGTTTATGAATGCACAGAAAGCTTTGGATTTCCAGATGTTGAGGTTATTGTTATTTGTAAATCAGGAAGTATTGCACCCGCTTGCATTCTTTTCATCGAGTTGGTCGCATGCAATTATTTAACTAGTGTTGGAGATGTTGTAGGTCCAACACATTCTTTTGATGCTCCAATAACGAAGGTGTTTGACCCCGGAGGATGGACGATAAATGACACACTTTTTTCCCATTCTTTGTTAAATTTCCAACTTGCGGACAAATTGGTTTTTGAGGCGGGGAGAGTGATACGGGATTAATTATCATTATTATTATTACTATTATTAATGGTTAGTGATTATTATTATTATATACTCCCTTCGTCCCCCAGTTTTTGTCCACTTTTGACTTTTGGAACTGTTCATCTAAGCATTTTGACTCATCAAATTCTCTCAATGTGTAAGCCTAAATATAGTCATGTGTGATCTTGTTTGATTTGTCTTAACATATAGATTATTAATATATAATTTCTATAACTTTTTAATATACAAATTACAAGATAAAATGGATTAAAGAAGTGCATTGGATGGTGTGTAAAAATGAAAGTGGACAAATACTCTAGGACGGAGGAAGTATTAGGTAGTATCATTATTTATGGTTAGTTAATTTTATTATTATTAGAAAGTAGTATTCAATTGTTAGGATATTTGTTACCATTTATAATTAGGATTCCTAGATTATTTAGTTTACTTCTATGATAAAGATTCTTTAGATGTCCTAACTATAAATGTATCTATTTCAATGAATTATTAATCAATGAATAAAGAAAATACTTTCTCGTAAACTCTAATCCCTCTTTCTTCCTCGCCTCTTTTGTTCTTGGAGCTCGACAGTGCTCGAAATCCTTCCATATCTCGATATGATATCGTATCAATAGATGATGTAAGCCATCTTTAATTTTAATAATAGATTTATTCATTTTACATAAATAGAGTAGATTTCTATTTATGCATGGGTTTTGAGATAAAATGAAATACTCCCTCCATCTTAAAATGATCTCATATATTATTCATATGGTCAAATTATAATCACTTTCTTTATCTATTTTTGTTAGTTATTTGATAAAATAATATAGTCATGTCACATCGTGTTTTGTAGAACTATTAATGTAGTTTTAAAATATATACGAGTGATTTTTATTTTTTAATTATACACCTATAATCAAATAAATTGAATTGAAAATAGTTTCAGTCAAACCTCGTAAATCAAACTGGGAAAATCATTTTGTGATGGAGGGAGTAATTTCAATCAAATAGTGTAGGTAATCCAAAGTTCTCTTTTTATTTTAGGACGGAGGCAGTAATATACTATTTCCTCCGTCATTGGGGAAATTCAGGGAGATATTTTTGTGTTGTTTTTACGAAAAATATTCTTGATCTGATGAGTAAAAATATGATGTGATGGGTAAATTATTGGTGAAAGTGTATGATGTGATAGGTATGCAAGAATTAATAGGGGTAAAAGTGATTTTTTATGTATATATATAAAAAAAGAAATAACTTTGTGGGACAAAGAAAAATGAAAAGAGGAGAAGTTTATGCCCTTAAATACAATTGTTCAACTTTAGATGCAACACATCTTAACGACACATGTAATTGTCCATTTTGTACAAAAAGAGTGGATTTTGCCAAAAAGAGAGCAAATTTAGCAATACCCTTTATTTAATTGTGAATTAAGCAACACCTTTTGAAGTTTTTCCAATTAAAATAAAAAAAGTCAAACAGACCGAATAGAGTTGGAGAGTGATTGTATTTAATTTACACCCAAAGTGTAGATTTGGTGAAAAGCAGAAAGGATGCAGGACTTGAGCCTCTTCCCATCTATGAAATCTTTCTCCCCCACAATCGACAATCTCATAATGTCCACGTAGCTCACCATCTCCACCGTTAGAGACTGCATTCAACACAAATATTTGATTTAGTGAAAATTACACTAAATAGGACTAAGACATAAGTCATTTTTTAATGTTAGATTTAAACTTTTTTATTCACTAAATAGGACTTAATAATGTCTCGTAGAAGAAAAAATGTCCTGTAATAATGGACATTTACTTGAATAATGACTAATGAAGAATGACTAATAATTCTATATTGGAAAATAAAAAATATATTCCTATATGGTAAAAATCATTATGTTTTAATTCTATTTATGTAAGTTTCTCTTTAATTTATGGATCGAAGTGGAATAATTTTTCTATATTACTCCATATAATTTTATCATATATATATATATATATATATATATATATATAATATATATATATATATATATATATATATATATATATGCATGCATGCAATTCAAGTATATGTATAATACGTACCGTTTATATACGATGAGAGTTATTTAAATCAATGATTAAAATTCATCTTATTTAAATTAAAAAAATTCAAATTGAAAATATATTCTCGAAAGTCGAAACACATTGGATTAACTACTCCCTCCGTCCCAGAGTATTTGTCCACTTTCATTTTTACACACCATCCAATGCTCTTCTTTTATCCATTTTATCTTGTGATTTGTATATTAAAAAGTTATAGAAATTATATATTAATAATCTATATGTTAAGACAAATCAAATAAGATCACACATGACTATATTTAGGCTAACACATTGAGAGAATTTGATGAGTCAAAGTGCTTAAATGAATAGTTCCAAAAATCAAAAGTGTACAAAAACTGTGGGACGGAGGGAGTAGTATTTAATTAAAAGAAGAGTGGGACCTGTGGAGCGCCAGCAACAAAGACATAGATGCCTTTGAGAGGATGATTAAGGAAGGTTGCTTCTTCCACCGGACCAATCATGTTTGACATAGTAATGCTTGTGTTCTTTAATATTCCTCGAATCATTTTTGCCGTTGCCTACACGATCAGACAAAAATGTTTTAATAAAAATTCTCATGTTTTCAATACCTGAGTTTAATCCCTGATAAATGTGTTAGAAAACAATTACACTAAGCTTAGGTTATCTACAAGTTGTACGAGGTGTAAGTTTCATTACTTATCATCAATCTATGATTAAAATCCAATTTATCTCTCTCAATTACCATCCGACCTCTCACGTGCAGGGATAGTTTTTTTCGAGTCTTGCACGTGAAACTTTATTTTTTTTAACTGGGTACTGAGTTTCGAACTCGTGACCTTTTAGAAGCGCCGATACCATGTCAAAGAACCAAATCAACCAAAAGCTCAAGTTTGTGATTGTGGCACGAGCTTTTTTTTTTTTGTAAAAGTGATCGGTGTATTAGCCGGCCGGTTTTCATTAGTTTATACTGCTTTTAATTGGTTCAATGACGATTGCGGTCTGAAGCACTAGACCGGACCGGTTTGGAACCCAGTTTGCCCGTTCCCGCTTCCAACCGGCCAATTCGGTTTTTAAAATTATGGTACCAATATAATACTCCCTCCGTCCCTCTGTATTTGTCCACTTTCATTTCTGCACACCATCCAATGCACTTCTTTAATCCATTTTATCTTGTAATTTGTATATTAAAAAATTATAGAAATTATATATTAATAATCTATATGTTAAGACAAATCAAACAAGATCATACATGACTATATTTAGGCTTACACATTGAGAGAATTTGATGAGTCAAAGTGCTTAAATGAACAGTTCCAAAAGTCAAATGTGGACAAATACAGGGGGACGGAGGGAGTATATCTATCTTTTTAACCACTTTTTTTTAAATTTTTTTGTCAATCATGTTTGAACATTCTCTCTCTTATTTAAACCCTATCTACTCTTTATTTTTTCAATCACTTTTACAAATTTACATTTTGCAATGAATTAATTCAACCAAAAGTATAATATCTTAATGATTGTGTTCTAGAAACTATTTTGATATTCTAACATGTCTCCTCATATGTAGGTGCGACCATTCCATCTATCGATCGCATGTGAAACTTTAAATTTTATAAAATTGAGTTTCAATAGAATTTGAACACGTGATCTCTTAGTCAATAAAATGTTGACATCGTGCCAAAGAAGAGAGAACTAACTAAACTATGCCAATTAAAAGCTCACCCTTATGATTATAATCTAGAAAAGGTTTTTAAATCATCAAACAATGTTCTAACAAGAATATAGAAACTCAAACTTGTAACTATAAGTCATGTAAAACTCTAAAAGTTATTTGTGTTCATGGCATGAGAAAAAAGTTAAATTAGATATTGAGTTTTAATATATATATATATATATATATATATATATATATATATATATATATAGATTTTGGTTCTGGTGAGAATGCGATCTTAGGAGAGAAATGAGAATGAATCTGGTGCTTTAGATTGTGAGATCTAAGGGTCAGGATTGCATCAAAATTAAGTGCAACAAAATGGTTCGAAAATGCATCACGTCGAAATGCATCATAATCCTTTGAGAATGCACTATCTCAAAATCTGAGCGCAGGATGCAATCTGAGCCGCACGATGCATCAGATCCAATGGCTAGATTTCATTCTCATTTCTCTCCACAAGGTGCATTCTCACAGGAACCGGCCTATATATATATATATATATATATATATATATATATATATATATATATATATATATATCTTCTCCTTTCCTTTTATCTTTGTCCCACAAAATCTTTCTCATTTCTATTAAAAAATTACTTTTACTCTTACTAATAATCTATCCATTATATTTTTTTTACTAATAATCTACCTATCACATCCTACTTTTAGTCATCACATCAAGTATATTTTTGGTAAGTCAACATACACAAAAATATCTCTTCTATAATTCTCCTAAAAATCAAAATGGGAAGGACTTTAAACGACGGAGGAAATATATATGTTAAAAGAAAGAGAATATTTGGTAGAATATTGGGAGATATTTGTGTATATATTGTTTTGGTAATTTTCCTTGTATAGAGATTTTTTCCTTTTCCTTTTCCTTTACTGATTAGGAGTCTCAACTTGTGAGATCCTATATATATGTCCTTATTGTAAATTGTAGAGACAAGAGAGTAATTCAGAAAATTTCCTCCAAAATAATTCTTTCATGGTATCAGAGCCAGTTTTGAATTCTTGAGACCTCAAACATGCTTCTTCCCCTGCCGGTGGGCATACACAATTCAATGCCTACCGGCGGGATATTGTGATTTTTTTATTTTTTATTGTCCTCCTTCATTCTTGAAGAAGTGGTCGGACAAGGGTTGTTCTACAGAGAGAAACAACTCTTTCCGCGTCTACTGTTCACCATCGACCGGCATCGCGCCCATCGATCGTCGCCTGTTGTTGCTGAAGTGCCAGAACGGTCGACCGTTGCTGAAGACCGGTCAAGTGGGTCGACCGTCCCGACAGCAGTTTCTCTTGATCGCGGTTACTGTTCACGATTGCCCGGCATCGCGTCCATCGATCGTTGCTCAGTTTCTGTGGTTTGGAGCAGTTCCCAATTTGTACGTGTAGGAATTGCACGTGGGACCTACCGGAGAAGCTTGCGCAGATGCGCGAACCGAGGAAACGTTTCTTGCAGGTTTGGAGCAGTTCCCAATTTGTACGTGTAGGAATTGCACGTGGGATCTGCCGGAGAAGATTGCGCAGATGCGCGAACCAAGGAAACGTTTCTTGCAGGTTTGGAGCAGTTCCCAATTTGTACGTGTAGGAATTGCACGTGGGACCTGCATAGAAGCTTGCGTAGATGCGCGAACTGAGGGAATGTTTTTTTTGTCCAAGCTGTGCATGTTGAACTCCCATGCTCCAGCTTGAGGGGGGGTGTTAGAGATAGAAGAAGGAAGCGGTATTGAAGAAGGAAA